TACAAAGCAAACGATACATTGGCAATATTTAAATATATTAAAGGGTTAGTTCACCCAAAAATGAAAATTCTGTCAGTAATTACTCAAGACAGACTTTCGTTCATCTTCGGAACACAAATTAAGATATTTTTTATTAAATCTGAGAGCTGGCTCACTCCTCCATAGGCTTCTTAAGGGATCGAAACTGGCCGGCCCAAAAGTTATGAAAGACATCGTTAAAATAGTCCGAGTGACTACAGTGTTAATCTTAAGTTTATCAAGCGACGAGAATACTTTTTGTGCGCAAAAAAACAAACAAAAATAACGACTTTATTCAACTAATCATTTCCTTCTCTGTGGGCCGTGATATTTCACGTAGTGAAACTACGCAAAGCTTCTAGGTTGTACGTCACGCATCACACACATGACCAGCGTCGGCCAAAAGTGAGCCAACGTGTGACGTGCAACCTAGAAGCTTTGCGCAATATCACTACGTGAAATATCACGGCCGTACAGAGAAGGAAATGATTAGTTTAATAAAGTCGTTATTTTTGTTTGTTTTTTGCGCACAAAAAGCATTCTCGTCGCTTGATAAACTTAAGGTTGAGCCACTGTAGTCACTCAGACTATTTTAACGATGTCTTTCATAACTTTTGGGCCGGTCAATTTCGATCACTTAAGAAGCCTATGGAGGAGTGATCCAGCTCTCAGATTTAATCAAAAATATCTTAATTTGTGTTCCGAAGATGAACGAAAGCCTTACGGGGTTGGAACAACATGAGGGTGAGTAATTACTGAAAGAATTTTCATTTTTGGGTGAACTAACCCTTTAACATTTTCTGTGGCTCCATTCGCATCTTACCTGATGCTAAAGACCCTGTCAGTTTGAGTTAAAACTAACCGAAAGTTGCCTTAAATTTACACAGAGCTAATAAGCAAGGCAATCCTGATGTGTTACACAGTTTATTCATAATTTCAGACAAACTACAAAATACACAAATCAGAAATGAACCTGTCAGAATGAGTAAGGCACTCTATATATCTGGAAACTTGAGCAGAACACAAGAGCTATATTAAAGGTTAAATAAGTTAGATGAGTTATGTCTCACATTATTGGAAATGCCATATGAATGCATAACTCAGACTCAGTGTACACTGCGAATGAGATGCAGCAGAGAGGTTTTATGCAGGATGTGGGGTGCACAATCCTCAAATACCAACCCTTTGTTGAGTGAATTAACAGTCTAGGATACGTCTCAATTCTGCATTTACAACTTCAAAGTGTTCCAGTCAATCATATGTCAGGTACCAATTAAACAATTAAACCAATTAAACAGTTTTATACCTGTTTCTTTGCAGCAGCTTAATGATATAACTGCTCATATGAAGCCCACCAGGTCTCCTGGTGATGTGCTCCTTCTTCTCTGTTTAAGAAGGTACTTGATTCAATTGGCCCAAGTATTCTGTCTATTATGAATACTAGTCTGTCATCTGGTGTTGTTCCGGTTAGTTTTAAGCATGCGGTTATTGAGCCCCTTTAAAAAAAAAACGGCTTAGACCCCTTTGACATGAGTAGTTTTCGTCCGATTTCAAAATTGCCTTTAATTTCTAAGATACTGGAAAAAATTGTGAATGCACAACTTTATGACTTTTTAATGAGAAATAACATTTTCGATAGATTCCAGTCAGGTTTTAGAGCTGGTCATAGTACAGAATCTGCTCTTCTGAGGGTCTCTAATAATATCCTACGAGGTGTTGATTCTGGAAATCGTGTTGTTTTGCTTTTGTTAGATCTTACAGCGGCATTTGATACAGTTGATCATAACATTCTCATTGATTGTCTTAGGGATCAGGTTGGTATTCAGGGCTTAGCCCTGAAATGGTTCTCTTCCTATTTGAAGGATAGGACTTTTTCAGTCAGTTTAGGGAATTATTTTTCTTCCGTTGCCCCTCTTGTGTGTGGGGTTCCACAGGGCTCTATACTGGGGCCAATTTTATTTTCCCTTTATATGCTCCCTCTAGGTTCGATTTTTGAGAAATTTGGGATTCAGTATCATCTGTATGCAGATGATTCTCAAATTTATTTACCACTGAAATATGGCCATAATTGTGCCATTCAGTCTCTTCATGCATGTTTGGCTGAAGTTAAGTGTTGGCTTGCGAATAACTTTCTCCAATTAAACGAGGATAAGACAGAGATGATTTTATTTGGAAATAAGGGGTGTGTGGATGATGACTGCCTGGGGTTGTTTCCCGGGAAAAAAACTGTCTAGCGTGAGGAACCTTGGTGTCATTTTTGACTCTGAGCTTAAATTCGATCGTCAAATCAATGCTGTCGTTAAGAATAGTTTTTTCCATCTTAGATCAATATCTAAATTGAAATCTATCCTTTATTTTGACGATATGGAGAAGGTTGTTCATGCCTTTGTGTCATCTCGTTTGGATTATTGTAATGTGTTGTATCTGGGTGTGAGTCAGGCCTCTCTCTCCCGTTTGCAGCTCGTTCAGAACTCAGCTGCCAGGCTTTTAACGGGTACTAAGAAGAGAGAGCACATTACTCCGGTGTTAATTAAACTACATTGGTTACCCATACGATACAGAGTTCAATACAAAGCGTGGTTGTATGTTTTTAAGTCTCTGCATGGCCAAGCACCTGAGTATGTTACTGATTTTATCAGCCGCTGTCAATCCAGTAGATCTCTGCGCTCAAATGATCAATTGCTTCTCATGGTTCCGCGATCCCGTTTAAAATGTAAAGGTGATCGGGCTTTCTCTGTTGCAGCTCCTAGGCTCTGGAATGAGCTTCCTCTGTCTGTAAAAACTTGTCCTTCATTGGGTGTTTTTCAGAGTGCGCTTAAAACGTATCTGTTCTCTTTAGCATTTGATAATGCTTTGTAAGTTGTGTATGTCATGTTTGCATTGTTTTTATGTCTTTGTTTTTATTTAATTTTTTATACCTTCTGTACAGCACTTTGGTTCCACTTGTGGTGTTGAAAGTGCTATATAAATAAAGTTGAGTTGAGTTGAGGTAAAATATAAACAAAACGGCCCCCTTTACCAAGGAAATTTAATTTTCCTTCCTGTTAAAATGCTTGTTTTTGCTCTAAAAATAGCAGAAAAAAGGAAGAAAATATGTAGGGATGCACGATATATTGGCCACCATATCAGAATTGGACGATATATGTTCATTTTTAATGTTATCGTTACCAGCCCGATAAGAAAATTTGATCACACTTTAGATTAGGGTCCAATTCTCACTATTTACTAACTATAAACAATGACTTTTGACTCAATAAACTCCTAGTAATATGCATGCTAATAAGCAACTAGTTTTTAATTGCTTGTAACCATGAAAATAAACACGAGAATGTCCATGAGAATGTAAAACAAAACGAGACGTATTCCTATTTAAAGGAAAATGGTAACCACAAATAATTGTCATGCTCTCTTTTGTGAAAATTATATAAAATGGATGAACCAATATTGCAGTTACATTTTCCTGATGGAGTAGCCTCTTCCATATATAGGTTCACCTTGATCCTTCAAAGAGACAGGGCAAATCTGTCCACATCATCCGGAGTTTGGAAAGTATAGGATCTCTCCCCATGTGTCAGCAGGAGCCGTGCTGGAAAGATGATTCTGTGCTTATGAATCCCCTTGTCTCGCAGCTTCTTTCGCACGTCGTCATAGTCGTGCTGCATCTTGTGTATACCAGCTGAGAGGACTGGATGAAAACAGACTTGTCCGTTGTTGTAAAGAACGAATGCAGGGATCTGTTTTGAATCAAAGGATCTGTCCCTTTGATTCTGGCTGCTTTCAATACTTGCTCCTTGTCTTTGAAGTTCAAGCACTTTATAATCAGTGTCCTCGGGCGTGTCATGCGCGAGTCGTTATTTGTCAGAGTGCGGATTCTGTGAGCCCGCTCAATCACCAAGGTCTCCCACGACTCCATTCCTAGAGCCTCTGGTATCCGCTTCTCCAGAAATGTAACCATGTCCTGGCCCCTCTGCTTTCTCTGGTAGGCCCACCAGTCTCACGTTGTTCTGTCGGATTCTGCATTCCAAATCCTCCACTTTGTTTGAAAGAGTTTTAACCGTGCTTTCCAATGTGCTCACTTTGGATATTAGCCCATTAACGTTTGTCTTCAGCATCAGAAATACGTTGTTCCGCATGTGCTATGCGCCCTGTGCATTCCTGCATCTCCTTTCTTACCTCCGCAATTGTTGTTTGCACACCATCAATTTTCTTATAAAGGACATTATGGCTTTCATGATATCCAGGTTGTTATTTTCGCTCCCGAAGTTACTACTTCACAATCTCCCTCGTCACGGCCGTCTTCCACTAGTTGCCAAAGACGTCGCTAATTTCTTCACCCTCGTCTTAGTTTCGTCTTTTTTCCACCTTTACATGACATTTTGATTCCCTGTGCTATTATATACGTGTTGCTTGGCTTTAAATAAAATTCTGGTTGGTATTGTAGGGTTAATTACCTAACAGCAGAGCTAAAAAGTTGCAACCTCTTAGCACCTCGCCATAACCGGAACCCCAAGCAACTAGTTAATAGTGATAATTGGACCCTAAATAAAGTGTTACCAAAAACTTGAATTGCTTGAAATATGATTGAAATCACTTCAAAAAAGAAAAAAACAGTCATACTTGCATGCAGCGCAAGCCTGTCATATAGGCTATGACTCTCTTAGACCATAACAATAAAAGCAACCAATTGAAAAAACAAACAAACAAATCTTTTTTTGTGGATGGATGGATGTTGTGTTTTCAAGCGGTTCTATGACTTTATTGGGGGGCATGTGCTTAGATTTGTAGTAAGAGTAGATCTGAATAATAGGAAGGCCAAACAGCTAGCAAGATACTCTCCAGCAACAGTCATTATGGGTAGTGATGATTGGGTTTTCTGTTGGTTTTCAACAAGTGTTCTGTAACATGTGATTCTATTCTATTTAAGTCCTATTCGCACTTTATCATGTCCGAGTGGATATACAAGAATATTTAAAAGAAAATACCTTTTGGGTGACAGCTGCCAGTTGCAGAAGAGAAGGTGATGCTGTGGACTGCAGGGATCCAGGGGCTCTGACGGGACTGTGGAGGCTGACATAAGCCAATGCCCTGCTCTGAAGTACCACTGCGTTCTCCTGTACAGACACACAGAACAAAGCCGTCTGCAACCAACTGATGAAATGTCAGATCGTTGATTGATATTTTGACATAAAGCCTGAGAAACCCCCAGTGAGACACTACAATTTTGTGAAATGAGCATTGTGAATAATAGCAACCATTATTGTCTTCCTCATACTCAAAAACAATCATTTTATTGTGACATTATTTGGGGCTTCTTAAGATTAATGATGACGTTCGTATTGTACTGATTAGAATAAACTCCTTTGCCGAACAGAATAATTTCATTAACACTCCAAAATCATCCATCTGTCTGATTGAATCTTCATGGCTTGCTGATCATGTTAGCAAGCTTTTGTATGGCTGCTCAAGGCTAATCTGTACTATTTTTGTTTTCCCTCCTTCATTTTAGCTGTCAAACCGAGGAAGAGAAAAACGGAAGTGCTTTTGACCTCCTGCTAAACTCAACTTTTAGCATTGCCAGGGATTTCTAAAAGCTATGTTGTTTATGTTGTATCAAAAAGTTCAAGCATCATTCTTATATCTATATTCCAAATATGCAGCTTATATACATAAATTGTAGGCTACAATATGACCCGGATGTCATGTAGGGGTCATAAAGGACACATACTCATTTGTCTTGTTACTACACATGATTTACTGAAGCAATGCGATAACATGCTGATTTCCATGTTGGAATTAATTGAAGATGTGGGATTTTTAAACTATCATAGCATCACATAACCGGCTCCATATGTACGGCTTTTCTGACCAAGTAAACTTGCTTGAAAGCTCACCTGGTACAGCACTGCACAGCACTCGGTTTTAAGTCCTGTAAATCATGGGTAACGGTAAAAGAGTTTTGACTGACTCATTGATTAAAACGGGAGTTTTCACAGTCGACGAGTTTGCGCCGAACTGTCTGTCTGACAGCTTCAGGGATTAAGCGCTCTTTACTCTGTCTAATTTCATTCGCAATTTGCAGAAAAGTTGTAATAATAATAATAATAATAATGCATTTTATTTCATGGCGCCTTTCAGAACACCCAAAGTCACAAGAAATATACAGGTCACTACACAAATCAAAACACACAACAATCAAACAGCGTAAAGTGCAGTTAAATCTCAATAAAAACATGTTATAAAAAGCCTGAATAAAAAGATATGTCTTAAGGCGCGTTTTAAAAGTCAGCAAGCACTCGCTATTGCGAACATCAAGAGGAAGAGAGTTCCATAGGCGGGGGGCAGCATAACTAAAAGATATGGCACCCATGGTGGTAAGTCGAATCCAAGGTACCACAAGAGAAATTGAAGAAGAAGATCTGAGTGCACGTGAAGGGCTGTAAACATGGAGAAGTTGAGTAAGGTATTGTGGTGCAAGATTATGAAGTGCCTTATAAGTGAGTAGCAAGATTTTAAATTCAACTCTATATTTTACTGGTAGCCAGTGCAACTGCTGAAGAACTGGAGAAATGTGGTCAGTATAGGGTGTTCTAGAAAGAACACGAGCTGCAGAGTTCTGGACCAACTGAAGCTTATGCAGCAATTTGGACGGAATACCTGTGAAAAGAGCATTGCAGTAGTCTATACGTGAAGTGACTAGTGCGTGGATAAGAACTGCAGTATTACTATTTGAGAGAAAGGGACGGAGATGGTTAATATTGCGTAAATGGAAGTATGCAATTCGCGTGATATTATTAATTTGTGCTTTAAAAGATAATGTGCCATCCATGATGACACCCAAACTTTTAACCTGAGAGGAAGGACAGATTGCAGTATTGTCAATGTATAGAGAGAAACAATTCGATTTAGATACCACAGATTTAGTGCCAACAAGCAGAGCCTCAGTTTTATTGCCATTTAACTTCAAGAAGTTTGCTGAAAGCCAAACTTTAATTTCAGCTAAACAGCTTGACAAAGATGGCGGAGGAAAAGAACCAATGCGTTTAGCAGACAGGTAAAGTTGGGTGTCATCCGCATAACAGTGAAAATGAATACCATATTTCCTTAAAATATCACCAAGAGGGAGCATATAAATAATGAAAAGAAGCGGGCCCAAAACAGAACCCTGGGGAACACCAGTGGTGACTGTCGATATTCTGGAACTAAAACCTTTTAATTGAATACGCTGACTGCATGTAGTTTTTCATGAGACTTTGTGACTACATACATTCCTACATACTTCAGTACAAAAATACACAAAAATAGGTTTTTAAATGTTATAACAGTGATTGCTGGTCACTATTCTGCTGGCTATAGTGGTAATTTAATGTTTTTTTAGAATTTAAAATAAAAGTGTTCGTTTTCCAACATCGCGAAACTTCAGACTTTTGAGCATTGAAGTGCAGGAATGAAGGATGCTTGTTTGATGTAGGCTACTTGAAAGTGGGACTGTCACCGTCACGTTGCGCATGGATTAATGCCCTGTCAAAACTACGGATGTGCCCGAAGCCGAATAGCCTAGCCTAACTTATTCACAAAAGGCACAGATAATGGCTTCAAAATGAATAATAGGGGAAACTTAGCACTGGTTCTCCCCAAGGGTGTGTGCTGAGCCCTTTACTGTACTCCCTCTACACCTATGACTGCAGTACAGTCCACCACAGTAACACCATCATCAAATTCGCGGACAACACGGAGGTGATTGGGCTTATCAGGGCGTGATGAGACAGCTTATAGAGCCGAGGTCCAGAAAATAACATCATGGAGTTCAGTCAACAACCTGACTTTAAACACCTCAAAAAACGAAGGAGCTAATCATCATAGACTTCAGGAAGCATGAGGTGGATCTGTGTCCCCATAATAACAATGAGGACTGTGTTGAAATGGACCAACATTTTTTATTTCTGGGCACTTTTATCTCTGCTGACCTCTCCTGGACTGCAAACCCTACAGTGGTCATCAAAAAGGCACGGGCAGCGACTACACTTCCTGTGACTTCTCAGGAAAAACAATATGGGTGAAAAGCTGCTGGTATCATTGTATCATAGTGTGGTGTGCTAGTTGCTCTGAGGCAGATAAGAGGGGGCTTTAGAGGATAATTTACACCACAAAGAGGATCATTGGATGCCCCCTTCCATCACTGAAGGACATGTACAACTCTCGATGCCTCAGTAGGTTAAAAACATTTTAAAGGACTCCTCACACCCCGGGTTTAAATCGTTTGACCTGCTGCCATCAGGCAGGCATTACAGGTCCATCAAAACGAGGACAAAAAGATTCAAGGACAGTTTCTTCCCCACAGCCATAACCATCATGAACTCTAATATGCACGGATCCCTCTCTGCTACATTGATACATATACACATACAGTCTGCAGGGTGCTTTTTCATTCTTCACTTTGCAACTAACAGGTTTAGTGCCATTTATTTCTTATTAGTGCAATATTCCATTTGACTACAATTTTTTTTTTATTTCTGTACTATGTCTGTACTATATGTTTATTATTAGTGTTTTATGTAATATTGTTTGTGTTTGTTGTATAGCAAACAGAATGACGTCATCAGAGTCTGCAATACCTTGGCTTTTGGTGAATTGACGCCACTGGTGATACGCTATTTTCAAGAGGATTTTCACTTTCATTCATTTGTTCAATGTTGCAAAATGTGTCAGGAAGCAATGTAATATCATTTAGCGGAAATGTCGCCATAGGCATGTTTTTCCAAAGAGCCTGTGGGTTGGAATAGTTAAATATTACCTTCCCCCACTCATAGGAGCCGATGTTGCCCAATGAGGTCCCCCCCCAGGAACAGAAGACGATGGTGCGGTCAGGCAGCCAGCCCACACGGGTTTGAGCCGTCATGGAGGCGATGATCTGAGTCATGACTGCAGAACCGCTACCCCAGTCCGCCCACGCACCCTCGTACCAGCTGCCATGATGACTGCCAACCAGTACATATCGATCTAAAGGGGGAAACAGAGCGGGAACACTTACACACAAACAAGAAACAAGCAAACACTCACGCACCAACAAACATGTTCACACAGGTGGAAGGTCAATCAACTGCAGGGTAAAGACTATGTGCAGAGTATGAAAACTATCGTTTTTTTTTAACCAATTTTTAAAGTCTTCTAGATTCTTTTGTTGTTTTTATATGCTTTAAGACAAACCATGTGCAAATTCACAAGTCAATACCATTGTATTTTCTCCTTAAAACTGCAGTGAAAAAAAGTCTAAACAACGTAGTTTGAAATCGCTGGTGTTTCTCACGTCACAAACTACCTTGTAACCAATCAAACCAAGTCTCTGAGCTGATGAGAGTGAGTGGAGGCGGCACGGCTTGACGGCACGGCTTGACTTTTGGTTGACCAATTAGCGGAAAGGGGCAATACCAAATGCACAACCGATGTACACTCTACGGCTAGAGAATACACTGTGAGAGTCACCGGCGAATGAATTCCCGCATCTCGCCAAAAGATGGCGCCCGCAGCTGAATAATTCATCCATTTTCCAAACCGTTGGTCCAATGTGGGTACAGCGTAATATCATACAGGTATAAATCCTTTTTAACTGATTATTCAATTGTTTAAATAAGGTTTGTACATAGTTTCCATGACAGAGTTTAAGACAAATGTTTTCATTACTACTGGAGCTGCCAGTTTGCTAAGTTTTTATTCACTCCTTCAAGGGGACTATATTAGTGGACTAATGATGGGAATAGTGAATGAGGGTTTAGGGGGCGATTTTTTTTAATACAGCCTTTGACTCTCTGGTAAACAAATCCATAGCAGACTGGTGGGAGTGGCCTTGGACAGCAAAATGGCCAGTACATTGTGGCTATTGAAGTTTTCCCCTATTTGGCAAAAGGGAACACAACAGCATTGTTTTCTCTAATCAGGTAGCACCAATTTTAGTCGGGCAGCCAAGTTTTGTTGAAAGCCCATTTTTGCCAGCAGTGAAGTAACCCTTTAAAATAAAAAAATAAAAAAATAGTTATTTTAAATTGTAATATTACTGCATTTTTCAATCAAACAAATGCAGCCCTGGTGAGCATAAGAGGCTTGTTTTAAAAACATTAAAAAAACGACCCCAAACGTTTGAATGGTATTTACTTAGATTACTCTTTTTATTGTTTTTAATGCTACTATACGTTACATTTTAATCCACATATTGAACTATTTTATAAAGACATTTTCTCTAGCACACACACACAAATGGTGTCTGTACCCACTATTCTAAAGTTAACTTCCCTTAGATTAGGATTTAAGGAATGGAAATTGATCCTAGATCAGTAGTTATCGATGCGCAGCAGAGAGTCTGTATGTATTGTATACTGTATACACACATGATCCCCGTTGCCAGAGCAAGGTTACACTTTCTCCTGATTTACACACACTCTGCCTTCACATACACTAAACACAATCCCCCACACACATCCAGACCAGAAAAGAAGCAATTCCTCATGTAATTAGCCGTGGGCTATTAACGGCACTGGGTCACCTTTGACTGACAGCTAGAGAGACTCATCGAACTGACAAGAGGCAAGAACTAAAGAACATTGCATCCCACCTGTACTCAAGAATACCGCAGCGGTCTTAAGGGAAGTTATTAAAATTACATCAAATGATAAACAAGACAGCCAACTGCCAGATAAATGAAAGGTAAACACATTATAAAAAGACAAAAGTCAAGGAGAAGAACGCCTCCGTATGATTTGTGATACGTAATTAGTGACTGGACGACCAATTATGACAGGAAAAGAGGGCTGTAAATCTCGAAAGTAAATCACAGAGGGCTTAAATGCATAGACACAGTGACTTTTACAGTCATGGGGGCGGGGGCGGGGGGGGGGGGGGGGGGGGGGGGGGGGGAGATTAAAACGTTTTCATTACATCAGACGTATGATTAAATCATCCTGAAGGTGAAAATAGTGGTCCGTAATTAAAAGCCTATTTTCGGCAGCCGAGTGACCTGCATTTGGACAGTGGCGGCAGACGTTGTTTTAAGAGATTAGTTTGTCATAGCGCACGGAGGAAAAAGGGCTGTTTCAGCACGTGGGCTCAGATTTGGCTTTATTCGCCCACCGGACTCGCACTTTTTCAGCGGATGAAGGAGAGAATGCTTAGATTGCACTCCTGTTTCACTCTACTGTAACGAATACAATAAAGTACTGTGACAAAGTATGGTGTCTTTGTTATGTCAGACCAAAGAGCACCACGGTTTAGGACAATGCTTGGGATACACTGGCAATATTGTGCAGTTAAAATGTGATGTAATTTGTCATTTAAATAAAAAAATCCTGCATCATCAATGACAAAAAGCCCTTTGGGTTTGTAAAATGATAATTCGGTTTATATAAGTGCTGTCTTGGTTTTGTGCTGACCTACCTGGATTGGTCTTGCCTTTGAGATATCCCATAACATTGTGCACTGTCTTGAAAGATGCTTGGTTTTCAATGGTGAGATTTATTATTTTTCTTGCTGAGGAACAAACAGAAATTTCAAAAGAATTAGTCAGGGACATGAAATATTGACAAATACAAAAAAGTTCTAAACCTAGCTCTTAGAAAATGGGAAATATATGGAGAGCTTTAGGTTGTGTCTTCAATCGATCCAAAAGGAAAAAGGAAAAATTAAGTGTGTCATTGTTTTTCAATTTTAAAATATTGTAACTGAATTCAACTATAAATATATTTGTATTTAATAAAAAAATAAATAAAATGAATGGAGGTATTACTTAAAATTTAACAACAACAACAACAACCGCAACAATAATAATACAATGAATAATTCAAAATGAAAATTAATCTGCAAAAATCAGATGAGATGGGGGGACATTCTATTTTATTATTTTGCAAACATTTGGTAAATGTTACTTTTGAATGTTCTCTGAACAATTTGAGACTAGTATTAACATGTTAGATGTAGGTCCAACACTTTGTGCTACTGTTTTGAGAGCATTATTAAAGACTAGATAACGTTGAACCGTTACTGGAAGAACATTTGTTCATAACTTTGAGAGAACCTTGCCAAAAAGTCAGCCAAAGGTCTGAAAACATTACCTGTTAACTGGGTTTCGTATTTAAAAACCACTGAAGTATATTATATTATATTTAGGCTTTTTCATGACACTTAAGGACATCTTATAAGCAAATGAACACATAAAACATAAAATAACAAAAGGCCATCAGTTTGGCCTAAAAAACACAGAAGCCCTGAATGTGAGCTTAAAAACACCAAAAACAATTCTTAGACAAAGTATTGAGACGAGACTTAAAAACAGAAAGAGCGTTACACTTTCGGATATCCAGTGGAAGCAAGTTCCATAGATTGTCGTAATTTCTTTCTCGAGTCCATTACTTGCAGGAACTTATAGTTTATTAACTTCTTCAGCCTGCAGCCACTATCATAACAAATCATTCTCTTCCCAGCCTGGTGCTGCTCCTCCTGTCATGACGCTCTCTCTCTAAGTCGTCCTCAGACGAGCCTTCCATCGTTGCCTCCAGGCATCCCGATTCTCCATGCATCCGGCCAGTTCGTTGGTGCTCTGGGCTCCTGTATCCCTCTTGAGTATGTCCACGTATGTTAGCGTGGGACGTCCTCTTGACCGATGGCCATGTGTTGGTTCCCATAGCACCAGCTTGCTGGCTGGCAGCTCGCGATGCCTTCGGCAATGTCCTGCAAGTCTCATTCTTCTCACAGCAATCTTGTTGCTCACTCTTGATACTCCCTCATACAGGATTTTGTTGGTTACATGCACACTCTTACTGATATTAAGCACTGCACGCAGCATCCTGGTGTAGCACCCGTCCAGGGACTTCTCTAGGGTTGGATTCAGGGTCCAGCATTCACTGCCATAGAGGAGAACAGACTCTACTGTCGCGTAGAAGAAGCTGAGTTTGATTTGGCGGGAGAGGTTGGAGTTCCATACACTGTTCATGCCGTTCAGGGCCCTCCATGCAAGTGCCTTCCTCACTTTTAGATCTTGCTCAGTTGAGTTGACCCATGCGCCCAGGTACTTAAAGTCCTCAACTTCTTTCAGCACAGTGTCTCCTACTGTTATCAGAGGTTGATGTTCTGGTGGTACGTTGTAGGTCATGACCTCAGTTTTCTTTGCATTTACCCTAAGGCCAACCTTAGTGCACTCTAGCTCCACCCTGTGTAGTAGTTCCTGAGCTTGTTCCATGTTATTGGAGAGCAAACTAATGTCATCCGCATAGTCAAGGTCTGTCAAGACTACTGCCGGGTGCCGACTTGACTTCCTTGGTGTCAACGTGAAGCCAAGTTCCTGCTCTCGCCCACTGATTGCCTTCTTGAGCGCATAATCAAGGACTATGATAAAGAGGAAGGGTGCTAATGTATCCCCTTGCATAACTCCAGCCAGGATGTCAAACTCCTCGCTGTTGCCATCTGGAGTCACCACCCTGGCCCTTGTTCCTGAGTACATGGACTCTATTGCCCGGAGTAGTTTCGGAGGAATTCTGTATGCCTTCAGGATCTTCACCATCATGCCTCGATGAATCGAGTCAAATGCCTTTTTGAAGTCTATGAAACATAAGACTGCAGTCAGGTTGTCCTTCCTCACCTCCTCTATCAATCTCCTGAGTGCCAAGATCTGGGTTGTAGCAGTTCGCCCTACTCGAAATCCATTCTGATTTACTCTCAGGTGAGGGTCGATTGCTTGCCGGACCCTGTTTAGAATCATGCGGTTGTAGATTTTCGCAGTGATACAGGTCAGGCTGATACCTCGGTAGTTGTCCGGCTTCGAGAGGTCTCCGGATTTGGGCACTGGCACGATGTTTGATAGAGACCACATTTCAGGCTGCCGATTGTGAAGCAGAGCAAGGTTGCAGAACTCTAGAATGATATCATCAAGATCACAGTTCTTCAGCACCTCTGGGGGTATTCCATCCGGACCAGCGCTTTTTCCCACTCTTACTGTGGCTTTTGCCCTGACGAGCTCACCGAGTGCGAAGGGACCATCGTTGACGTTCAGGTTTGGGAGGTCTGATGGTATTTCCTCTTCCTCAGCTGCGTCTGCTGTTTCTCCCAGCAGCCTTTTGAAGTGGCTTGACCAGGTCGCCACCCTCTCTTCCGGGCTGTGTCCCTTCACCTGTCCCTCCTTGGTCCTCTTCCGCCCCGTCATTTCATTGATGACCCTCCATGCTTCCCCATACCGCTGTTCCCCATGCGCCGCCTGCACCCTCCCCACTCTTTCCATCAGTTCTTCCCCTTTGATGGTATCATAGGTTCTGAAAAGAAACTGTTTGGCTTCGTTCAGCTCACTGCGCCTCTCCTCAGTTGGTTCCCGCTCAAAGTTGAGGCGGCCTTCCTCCACCATCCCACGTGCTGCTATGACCTCTGGATGTTTTGATCGCAGGGAGGTTCTGACTTTCTCCATCTTAGGCACGCACAGTCTGGTCGCCTCCTCGTTCACTGTGACGAATCTCCTATATTCGCTGCTTGCCTCCGCTCCCCTGTCTAGCTGCTGGAATCGTCTCCTCACCTCCTCTGTGTATCTGGTTAGAAGGCCAGGGTCACTTGAGAAAGCTTTCCAGTTATACCGGATTTTGGGACTTGGTTTGGGGGCCCTGAGGCTCAAACGAACCCTCATTGAGACCACACGGTGATCTGAGCCCACAGAACTAAAAGTGCTGTATGGCTCAGCATTCATGATGGAGTTCCTCCACTTCTTCCTCACTAAGATGTAATCTAGCTGCCGTAGCATTCCTGAGGCTCGGTCCCGGAAGGTCCACCTCTTTCCTGTTCTCTTCCGGAAGATGGTATTTGCCGCCAGTAACTCGTGCTCCGTGAGGAAGGCAGTGAGGTAGGTGCCGTTGCGGTTGGTAGAGTCGTGATAAGGGAAGGGTACGTCCTCTGGTCCAAGCCTCGCATTGAAGTCCCCAAGGATTGCCAGGAAGTTGTGCGTTGGGACGCCGCGGACCGCTCTTACAAGGTCCTCAAAGAACTTCTCCACCTCGTCAGATGGCGCCACGTTGGTGGGTGAGTACACGACTATGACTGTTGTTACTGGGTTACCCGAGAACTCTGCGCACATAATCCTGTCGGTATGGTGGTAAACCCGATGTAGAGCCTTACGTGCCCGTGGGCCCAGCATTAACCCTACACCTCCTGTTGCGGCTTGGGCATCGTTCTTCCACGCTGATGCGGAAATGAACGTGCATCTCTCCACTCTGTGGTACAGTATCGGGTCTTCGGTGTGCACTCTCCTATGTTCTTGGACCCCCAGGATCTCCACTCCCCGTTCCTCTGCGCAATGTGCAAGTTCTATCAACCTCGCTTCTTCTCTCGCTGTGCATGCGTTGAAGGTTCCCATAACAACTGGTCTCCGACAGCGCATGAGTGCATTGGACGGGGTGATGTGGTCAGACAGGACCCTCCCTGGGACAATCCCGGGGTTTAAGGTCCCGTTGTCATGGTGTCCTCCCGGAGGAGGACCAGCACCACCGTCCGCTGCGATGTTCCTACGGACTCCCGCCGTTGGAAGTATAGGATTTGGGATGTCTTTGTGCTCCATGGTTGGCTTTACTATGCTTATAGCGGACTGTGGGGCGCAACTCCTCGCAGTCCCGATTTAATTTCAGAGTGACCTTCTCTTAGACAGGTTGCCATCCAAGGCTATGAGCCCCATCTACCCATGCTATTTGACCCCTAGCTGGGACAGTGGTTGGCAGGCGTCAGGGCGTGTCCACACGCCGGTGGGCCTGCACGTCGTGCCTCTGGGGCCCACTGCTGCTCCGAGATCCCCTGCAGTTTAGCCTGGGACCTCGCGGATCCCAGTATCCGTGTGTGGCCACGTGGAGGCACTGAAGGAGTCTTGGTGGTGGAGAGGCTGTGTACCGGCAGTAGGAGACTTACGCACTCGGCTCCTCTTTTCACCTCCACTAGGGGGGCTAGCCGGTGGCAGTAGCTGAAAGCAGAGAGTAACAAGCAGGAGCAACATGCAGCACATAACATGCAACATGCACTGACTACAAGTACTTCTATGCCCTACTGCACATGACGCATCACACACACCCTGTGCAAACGCACACACACACCCTGTGCAATCCCCCACAAATTAACATATTATTGCGAATTTCACACATGGGCAGGGAAGCTGAAAGTTCGAGACCCTATGATAGACATATGCATGTGTGAGAGAACTAAAGTGCATGTAGAAGATGTTCTAAGAGTGTGGATTGGAGTGTAAATGGAAATTAGATCAGACAAATAAGAATGAGCCAAGTTGTAAAGTGCCTTATAATTAAGGAGCAAAATATTCAATTCAATACATTGCTTAACAGGGAGGCAGTGCAGTTGTTGGAGCACAGGGGAAATGTGTTCAACCAAAGAAGTTCTGGAAATGATTCATGCAGCCGAGTTCTGGACTAACTGAAGTTTATGCTAGAAATTAAAAGGAAGGCCATAAAGAAGAGCATTACAATGCGTGATGTGACTAGAACATGGACCATAATGGC